GTAACAAGAACTAGGTGCATTTATGCTTTGAAAGCAAGGTGTGGGTGTGTCTGTTAACTTCGTATGCAGCACTGCTGTTTTCAGAGTTAATAAGAGCACAGCAGTGAGTCCTGAGGCATGGTGGCAGAGTGTGACTTGTGGCAGCCAGCCTAGCTCTGCTCTTCCTAACCTGTAGCTGCTTTTATCTTCTGCTCCTTTTCTGCCTGGTGAGATTCAGTCTCCAGCACCAGTCTTGCAATTTACCTGTGGCTGTGAGGTAGGAAATCCTACAGGATGGAAGCAAAACTGGTTGAGTATCTGTGCCTGAAGAACACTTACTGCATGGTTTACTATCAAGTGGCAGCACTTCCTGTTGTACATTTTTCCCAGGAGACCTGAGATGATAAAATAAAGGGCATGCTGAGGAAGTTTTCAGGCCACGGGGAGCAAAGAACAACTGCAGGTGTGGTCGAGAATGAAATCACCATCTTAGCAAATGGGAGATGGTCATGTAGAGCAAAGCAGGGTGTCAAGTGAGTAGAAGAGCAACATACTGTCTGTAGGCTGGACTGTGTGGGTACATGATGGGGGAAGGAACAGGGTAAGGTGCTGTTCTGTCAACAAGGAACTGGAATTTTTGGACCACAAACTAAGGATACAGTATTGTGCTTGTTAGTAAGAAGTTAAAGCATTTGGGCAGGAGCTCAAAAGTAATTTAAAGTAATCTCTCTGCTTTTCTCAGGATTGGTGGATCCTACAGTACCCCGCTGTTCTGATTCTGAACTCTAAATGAGGTAGAGACCAATTGGAGAGTGTTCAGAAGACAACAGTGCACTAGAAAATGATCTAAAATGTCAGATTGAAAGAATTAGAATTGCTTAGTCAAAAATTAGGATATTTCAGTTGCAAAGAAATGGCTAATCTCTTCTCTATTTCTTATTCATGGGGTTGGGAAGGTGAGATTTGGTCATTGAGAAGCATTTTCCTTGTGCTAAGAGCAGGGGAATACTAAATCAGAGCCTGAGAAGATTGAGTCTTGACAAAAATCTTTATGCCATAGGTAAGTATCTATGGTTGTTTGGTGGAAGAGGAAAGAATTAGATCATGTCTTTAGATTATAAGCCTTACATCTACATGATTGTTAGTGACTTCCATCACGTCTATTGCTCCCATACATGTGAAAAGATTTCCAACAAGTAAATGAAAACATTGTATATCCAAAAAAGGAAGTAGATCTTGTAGTTCTAGGCAGAGGGTTTGAGAGTTGTTTTCTGGGGTTTTATCTGGTTTATTTTTTGGTTTTGTTTTTTTTTTCTCTTCGATACTACTGACAATTGTAAATCCTATTCTTTGATAGAACCCATTGCTTCTTATTTGCATGTGTTTTTAAAAAGATCACAGCTGCAAGAGCTCCTAGGGAAAACTGTGGTGTTCATACAGCTGCAAGGGTAAGGGAGTGAGATTGCACTGTGTGAGGATGTTTGTATGCGATCAAGTGAAGTCCGTCTAGCTCAGTACTTGTTACTGTCAGATAAGAAGGGGCTTTTGGCACAAATGTAGAATTATAGTTCCTGTTCTGCTTTTGCAGCTTACAGACATCTTGAGATGGAAGTTCTGCTGTTCAACAGATCTGTTTTTTTAATGAATTTTTATAATAATTTTTGAACCTGTTGCTTCTTGGTCTCAAAAACGTCTTTAGGCATTGAATTCTCTCATTTAATTATTTACTAGGCAAAGAAGTACTTAAGAGCAACTTTGTAAAATTTCATTTGATGTTCAGTGTTCCCATGTTCTTCTGGGAAGCACTTCAGGCATCTGACATACCATGTCACTTTGTGCTATCATGATGATTTTTTTGTGTACTTTGATCTGACACCGCGTCATACTGTTTTGTGAGCTAAAAAAATCCCCTTACGTTCTTTGTGCAGAAGCTGCTCTGACCAATAGTACCTATTCTTTTTTGATGCTTTATGTTCATAATGAGATAAAATAATTTGAAGGTATAGGACCAGCACAAATCAGCAGTGTAAGAATATGTTATGTTCTCTCTTCCCTTCATTAAAAATGATCTGATATTCTGAATGGTTCATAACTTGACCACTTCAAAGCACTGAACAAATGTTTTTGAAGATGTATGTTCAGAGACTGCCAGACATTTTTATGGTAGTGGCATTGAATAACTTAGAGTTCTCTTTCCCAGTGTGTTACATTGCATTTATTGACATTTGACTTCATCTGATTTTATATGGTTGTTGCTGAGTTTCCTGGGGTTCTTCTGCAAATTTTTCAGTGATGTGTCAGTTTGGATTGTTCATAATAATTTTGTATAATTTACAAACTTAAGTGCAGGTGATATGTGGAATTACAGATATGCAGGTGGCCACGATGAACAGCAGCCTAAGGCCTGGCATAGATTCTGATGAGGCTTCTGACTCTCTCACCTGTGAATCTTTGTCTCTTAAGTCTTACCCTGCAAGACCTTCACTTCTGTAACAGCTTCCTATGAGAGACATCAGCAGAAGCTTTTTAGAAGTCTTTTGTTCACTACCACATCCAACACCTTTATCCAAGGGGTCCTGGATTCCTTCAAAGTACTCTTCAAGTAGCAAATCATGTTTCTTTACAAAAGCTGTGTTGGTTTTTTCCTCCCTATTATGCCACCCTACAAATTGTTCAGTATGGTTTTAATCATCTTGCCGTGGCATGAAAGTCAGATTGTCTTTGTTGTGCCTCTCCTGATTGCCTTGTCAAGCTTTGAAAAAAATTTGATATATTTTTTCACTCTTGATTCCTCTTTACTTAGGCCACCTTAAAGCTATTTTTTTTCAGAATTAATAGTTTGGAAATTTTATATTTAATGCTTTAACAGTTCAGTGAAGAGTATCTGGCTCTGGGGTATTCGTAGTGTTTGATATTTTTAAATGATCCTCTGATTCTTCACTTTGAGAGAAGGTCTACAGAGGATCTGGTGTAAGATTGGCTTTGACTGTCTCAGCAGTAATTTCAGAAAACAATACATTATCTAGTTTTTCTACTTTATCCTTATTTTCTTTTAATTCTTTCTTTTATATCTTAATTTTCTAGTGGTTTATTGCAGTGAGGTAGCAAGCTGTCTGTAGCTATCATATTCTACTCTGAGCTCAGAAATTTGGTAACCTTTTACTGCTCTCTTACAGATGGCTATGTAGTTCACTGGCAAGCTTTTATAATACTTCCGTGTACGAGGTAGTATACACCTATCAATTAGAGCAATATTGGACTTGTTTTACCGGTTTTAAATTCTACCAATGACCTGTATGCAGATGAAAATATGCACATAGAAAAAAAAATCAGTAGCAATTGGAAGAAAAGTTGTTCGCACTTTATTTTTATATTGACAAACAAAATTCTCCATTCTAACAAATGTGATAGAGTAATTCTTTAAAAAAAAAAGATGTAGTGTTTTTCTGCATGCAGAGAGCAGAAGATATATCTTATGTGCGTTTAAGTGGCTCCAATCTGTTGTTTCATTTAATAAATGGAATTTTTGTGTGCAGTTCTTCAACATCTGCTTGAAATCTGAATGTGCCCAGGTGCTAGTGGTAGCGTGTGTTTTACTTTCATGAGTCCTGTTTGAACCAGGAAAGGGGGTAAAAATAGTGTTCCTGCCCGGTGATATTCTGGTGTTTCCAACTGGTTTGTATTTGTGATGGGAGGACTGGAGCCAAATTTACTATAATATTCTGCGCTTGTAATTTGTTGCTGGTGAAGACTTTCTTTTGGACTTTGCAACTCTGCAACAAGTATTTTTGTATCTATTGTTAAAAATGTGGTGAATTTTGTAATGCTTCTAGCGTGCTGCTTTTCTTTTTTTTCTCTTCTTTCTTATCTGCTTGCATAGCTGCTGTTTCTTTGTAGACACTGAATGTAAGCATCATTTACAGTCTTTTCTATTTTTGGTCATGGAGAATGGAAGTTTTGTATTTGCAGCGCTTTGTTTCTAGAATGTCACTAAGTAACCAGAAAGGAATACTAAATAATGTCTACTTGAATGTGAACTAAAACTATCCCTTTGTAAGATTTTATAAATGTGTCCACGATTAGTACTTTGTTTTGAATAATGGAGATCTGCAAAGTAATTCTCTTTTCTTTACCCTTGCACACTGTCTCTGTCTTTCAGTTTTGCTTACTGTGTCTTTTCTTACAAGGGCATTGCTAAACCAATATTAAAGTTAAGTCTTTAGATGAGACATTCTGGAATAAGATTGAGAATGAACACAAAACATTGGTCCAGATGTAGCTTTTAGAGTATACCATGCACATGGAAGCTATATGCAAAGTCTGTTTCTAATTATTTTTTATATTTTATGTACTTTTTTCTTAATATAAAACCTCAAATATCTACCCTTCTGCTGCAGTTTACTTCACCTAGATTGCAGTCCAGACTTACAGCTTGAAATTTTAGTGCTGCAGTCATCTTAACTTTCTGGCCTCTTACTATCCTAGATATTGGAGTAATTAGAGCCATACAAGAAATTTCTGTGTCTTGATTGGTACTTTTCTCATGCTGCTACTTCTTTTCTTACAGTCCAGTGAAAATATCTCTACTAAGTTTGTCTTTCATATAATGAAATTTTGTCTTCCATGCCTTCATTTTCCTTATTAATGAGCTTCCTTTTTTGTTTTATCAAGGACAAAGTTCAGAAATAAATGAAATGGTCTGATTTTCTGGCTGAAATATGCTGTGTCATAAGAAATTCTAAGAACTTAAAAAAAAATATCTTCGGCTACTTGTGTAGAGACAAAATAATTTCTTACTTCAAAACTGTGTGTATGAAACGATAGCATACTACTACTTGCAATCATTTGAGAAGTCTGCTCTTTTGGTTTTCTTGAACTCTCTCTCTTTAAAAGACAAAAAATCTGTCTCCTGGTAATAATCTGAAAATGCAAAGCCATTTACCTAAGTTTAAGTTTTGCAATGTATTTTAAAATGCCAAAATAATCATAATAATAAAGTTTCATCTGTTTTCCTTTCACAGACTTCCCAGAAAATAAAAGCATATTTCAGAAAGTGAAAATCAGAAGAAGTAGCTGCTGACATAAAGAAAAGTGTACTAAGGATCATTTCTTGAGTAAAATTTTTTAAGGTGCGTGAGCTATGTTTTGCAGAAGAGCCTTCCTGAAACTAAGCTGCCTGTTTTGCCTTGCGTGGCCTAATGTTTCAGGCCCGATTTGAAATGATCAGGCTAGCTTTAGATTACCACTTTGGATGTTTATTGATGGCAATAACTTTATGGAAGTGTCAATTCACTGAGTTCATGTTCCATACATTTCACATCATATGCATATATAGATAATATTCTGAATATGTTGTTAGTGTAAACAAATGGTAGATAAAGCATGTGGTTTATGTTTCATGGTGTTGCACGTTCCAGGAGTAGTTCCTACTCTAACACAGATGTCAACTGTTTAATAGTCTAATTTTTGTTGAACATGTGGATGGAGAGCTAAGAATTATTTATTTCATTGTTTTAGTGGAAAATACCTACTGTAAGCCTTACATTCCAAAGTTGACATGAACTGTATAATGAATTGATCACCTGTTATAAAATTGCTTTTATACCAGTATGGAAGCCTTGAGTTTGAGGATTTGTCTCTTGAATCCAAGTCCTCTTCCTTTTCTGATTTTGCAGTGTTCGTAATGTTACTAGAAAGGGTTGGCAAAAATATAAGCCTTGCTAAGAGATTTGGAGCCCATGTAGGTTTAGGAGCAAAGGAGTTGACAGCAGATCAATAGTGAACATGATGCTCTCTGCATACCGTGCCCATTCCTTCTTCTGGAGGGGCCAAGATGTGTTCTGTGCTTTCCTGTTTAACTGGGGACCAGGTGAGCTTCTGTTTTGTGGTTTATCAGTTGTCTACCTGGTCATTCATTTTATGAAACCACAAGTTCCAACTGATGCATATAGATCCATCATTATTTTAAGATTAGCAGTCACAGCTTGGATATATTTCATGACAATATATAACAGAAGACACCAGTTCTTATAAGGGTAGGAGAGCATCCTGGGAAAGTATTGCTATATAGGTGCTCTGTAATCTGCAATCTGCTTGTTTGATTTCAGTCATTGTCAGTCACAGAGGACCTTTGGTCTGACTCGGTATGGCCACTGTCATACACCAGGGACAGATTGCAATATTTAAATGAAAACTAACTTTCTTCAGAGCTGTTGCTGGAGTCCAGGATGCAAATGCTGGAATATTGGCTTTATTTGCTGAGGGAAGTGTTACAGTATTGAAAGATTATGTGACTGTCATTGAAGTTTCTCTCTGTCATGCTAACAAAATTTAACATTGCTTTATTTGGTATCTGACTGCACTGCTGTGGTGGTGGTGGTGGTTGAGACAAGTCATAAACTGTCTTCAGGAACTATGCTTAAATTTAGAGCTGGTCAAGAGCTGGTTGCTCATTCACAGTACGTTATTAAATGTACATTGAATGTTTACTTCCTGTCAGTGATTAGTTTATTATTTTGAGAGTGACTGTAAAAAGAATGTCAGTCTAACTTTCTTGGAATTGGCTCTGAGACCTATTTTAACTGTTAATGCTTATCAAATATTGTCGAATTTGCATACCCAGTAATTTTTATAGTAACACACACATATATATATCAACTTTCAAAATAAAAAAAATAAACTAGCTGAAACTCATTTGTCTTATTTGATGCCACTGGGTTTTTATTACTTTTACAAAACATGCTGGAATTCAGTTTGAGACTTCACTGGCATGTTAAATTATGCAAGCATTGTTCATGTGTGGAAAAAGAGATGAACCTCATAGGTATCTGCCAGAAGTAGGAAAGATCTCTTCACAGTAAGAGTAAGCAATTCCTGAAGGTTTTTTTTTCTGTATGAATTTAGCATATCACATTTTCATTGTCATCAGTTCTCCATCTAGCTACTTTAAAATGTGATGCTCTCTCTGCTTTTTTAAGAGAAAATATTCTTCCATGTTTTTTCGAGAAATACTTTTTTTTTTTTTTGTCTTGAGAATATCTTTCATACTGTATTTTCATCTTTTCAACATTGGAGTACAAAGTATGTGTGTGTCTCAAAATCCCCATATCTCCTGCTGACATGTTTTTTCGAGAAATTTTTTTTTTTTTTTTTGTCTTGAGAATATCTTTCATACTGTATTTTCATCTTTTCAACATTGGAGTACAAAGTATGTGTGTGTCTCAAAATCCCCATATCTCCTGCTGGTTCCAGAGAAAATCTTTTCTGGGTTCAGACTTTGTTGCACTAGTCAATTTTGCCAGTAGTCTGTGGTTGTAAAATCTGGGTGGGAATCTCTCTGTATCTTAAATGTTCAGTGTGAGCATTGTAATGTTGTATGGTAAAGCCAAAAAATGGGACTGTTAGTATTTTTTCCATAACCCAGTAGCTATGAACATGAAGAAGCACAAGGAGAATCACACCACAAATAGCAGCCCAACTTGATTGCTGTCCTTAAACAGAATCTGCTGGTGCCATCATTGTACCTTGATTATCACAGAATCATAGAATGGTTAGAGTTGGAAGGGACCTTAAAGATCATCGAGTTCCAACCCTCCTACCATGGACAGACACCTCCCACTAGAGCAGGTTGCTCAAAGGCCTATCCAGCCTGGTCTTGAATGCTTCCAGGGATGGGACATCCTCAACTTCCCTGGGCAACCTGTTTCAGTGTCTTACCACCCTCATAGTAAAGAGTTTCTTCCTGATACCTAATCTAAATCTCCCCTCTTTCAGTTTAAAAACTTACGCAAAGGATTTGACACTGTCCCACATGACATCCTGGTCTCAAAATTGGAAAGGCATGGATTTGATGGATAGGTCACTCAGTGGATAAAGAACTGGCCTGATAAAGAGTCCCTGCCCATCTCTCCTGTAGGCCCCCTTCAGGTACTGGAAGGCTGTTAAAAGGTCTCTCCAGAGCCTTCTCTTGTTCAGGCTGAACAGCCCCAACTTTCTCAGCCTGCCTTCTCAGGAGAGGTGCTTCAGCCCTCTGGTCATTTTTGTGGCCCTCTTCTGGACCTGTTCCAACAGGTCCTTTCCTTGATGTTCTGAGGACTCCAAAGTTGGATTCAATATTTCAGATGGCGTCTCACCAGAGCAGAGAAGAGGGATAGAATCACCTCCTGCGACCTGCTGGCCACGCTCCTTTTGATGCAGCCCAGGATGCAGTTGGCTCTCTGGGCTGTCAGTGCGCATTGCCAGCTCCTGCTGAGCTCCTCATCCACCAACACTCCCAAGTCCTTCTCCTCAGGACTGCTCTTCAGCCATTCTCCGCCGAACCTGTATTTGTACCTGGGATTGCCCTGTCCCAGGTGCAGGACCTTCCACTTGGCTTGGCTGAACTTCATGAGATTTGCATGGGCCCACCTCTCAAGCCTATCCAGGTCCCTCTCAATGGCATCCCTTCCCTCCAGAGTGTCAACTGCTCCATGCAGCTTGATGTCGTGGGCAAACTTGCTGAGGGTGCACTCTATCCCACTGTCCATGTGTCTGACAAAGATGTTAAACAGTACGGGTCCCAGTACTGACCCCTGAGGAACACCACTCGTCACTGGCTTCCATTTGAACCTTGAACCATTGACCGCAACCCTTTGAATGCGGCCATCCAGCCAGTTCTTTATCCACTGAGTCGTCTATCCATCAAATCCACGCCTTTCCAATTTTGAGAGCAGGATGTCATGTGGGACAGTGTCAAATCCTTTGCATAATTCCAGGTAGATGACGTGTGTTGCACTGCCCTTGTCTATCAATGCTATGGCAATATTGTAAATGGCCACCAAATTTGTCAGGCATGTTTTGCCCGTTGTGAAGTAGTTGGCTGTCACGAATCACGTTGTTATTTTCCATGTGCCTTAGCAGAGGTAGATCTGACGTAGGTCTGACCTACATGATATTTGTAGGTCCTTTCCGCCTGAAATGCTCTATTCATTGGTCTTATTGTTAGGATCTTTGTTTTGTTCATTATGTAGCATGGTTTGTGTTCTGAGAATAAATGTGTAGTGGATGAGTCTTATTTATGTAAACATACTGGAATAGCTAACAGAAGCAGGGAACTGCAGGAAAATGGAAGTCATCATGGGAACCAGGTTAATCTGGAGATTGCTCTAGGTTCAGATTTGCAAAATCGTCTAAGCTTTTTGTAGTAACTGAAGCAAATAACATTTTTTTTTACCCTGCATGCTAAATGCATTTAATACACTAAAAATCCTAGGCACTCTGAAAAATCTGTCTTTAAGCCTTGTGCATAACAGTATTAGCTGGTACAATGTTGTCATTAGTTTATGTGTCTCAGTTCTCAGTGTAAAATACGATTATTAGTCCTGCTTCACTCCATGGGCTGTTAGGAAGATAAATCTGTTAATGTTTTTAAAACACTCTGCTGGTTTAAGTGGCAATTTAAAGCCTACGAAGAAATTGGTACTTCTGTGTTCAAAAGAGCTAAGACTTGGCTGGAGTGCAGGAATTAGAGTGAGCAATACACAGGCTGTTTCTACACTGCAGTCCAGGGCTGTAGTTGCAGTTTATTTAAGTTTTATCTTAGCTAGTTTGAAGCTGATTAGTGTACGAACAGGTTTTTGGTGTATACACAGAAAAGAGGGTTCAACCCACATTTCAAAACCTATGCAAGTCTGTGGAAATTTCTCATATGTGTGGGTTAAGTTCTTCCGTGATGTGGCTGCATGTTTATCAGTATCAGGTGCAGGTGTTTTAGAGCTAGCTCAAACAGGCGTCTTTGAGCTGCTGTTGTGTTATAGGATTTCGTAAGGCAGCATTTCTTATCTGTTTATCAAATCATGTCCATTTGGTGCAATAAGACTAGACTGCCTTAGGGGACAATCATGTGAAATTAAGGACTCTGCCCTACTGTGTCCCCAAAGGGAGCAATGGACCGTTGCATGGGGAACCTAGTTGGGAATATTTCCTGATTTTTGGGAGGTTGAATCTGCAAGTTTAATGGCCTGGTAACACAGTGTTTTGGAGCAAACTAGTTTCTAACTAATTATCAATTTCCCATCAAGGCGGTGTCTGAGAGCTGATGCTTTATTTTGATTTTTCTGTGCTCTTAGGATGGTAAACACCAGATTCAAATGTTTCAGGTCACCAGGAGTGAAACAGTGTAGCTGGCAGCTCTTGTGTGGAGATGCTGTTGGCTATACTTATCCGATGTAATATGTGGATTGGTCTTTAATATCTGTCTTAGATGCTTTTGTGTCTTCCCTTGTAACTTAACTTTAAGTTAGGGAGGTACATTTTGCAGATGTGAACTGGAGGACAGTTCTGGGCCTGAGATCTCTTCTGATCGTAGTTGGGTGTTTGAAACAGTGCTCTGACCTTCCTTTCGATTTCTTTGAGGAGCATGTATGTGGTTTGTCTTATGGTTAAGTTATTTTAGGGTTTAGATGTTAAGTTAGTCACAGTAGAAGTTTTTCTTTTGATACATCTCATGAATTTTGTTCTGCTTTCAGATGTGGTGAAGAGCCTGTATTTTCCCTTGTGCAGTATATAGTGCCTTAAAAAATGGGGTTTGGAGGTGACCTGAAGTATTCTCATGATGCTTTATTAAAACTGCAAGACTGGGAACTACGACTGCTGGAAACAGTGAAGAAATTTATGGCAATGCGTGTAAAAAGTGATAAGGAATATGCCTCCACCTTACAGAATCTTTGTAATCAAGTAGATAAAGAGAGCACTTGTCAATTGGATTATATCAGCAATGTGTCCAAGGTAAGACTGAAGTATTTTGAATTTGGAATATCTTTGGAAATAACAGTGCTGGATTTATTTTTGTTTTAGTTTGGGTTGTATTCCTGTTCATTCAGCTTCTTGAGAGTTAATATTGCTGAAGTATTTAAAATGGGCTCCTTTTAGTTCCTTAGTGGAATGGGTAAAAGTTGAGCTCCAGTCTTGCTTTGAAAATAGTAACTGAACTAGATTCAATCCTGAATTCTGAAATTCAGTATTTTAGATTCCTTGGTTGAACCTGCTACTTTGTTTAGTGTTTTGAAAATATAGTAAGCTTTTCTTTTAAGACAGTTAAATAGGAACTGTTGTTTATATTATATAGAATTTGTGACAGAAATAGAAAAATGCCAGGAAACAGAGGCAAAGCCTAGCATACCAGCTGTTATTCATACTGCAGCATGTGCTGTAGAAACAAAATGTTGATTCAGGATGTTTCTCATAATTGTGAAGCTGTTTTGTGCCCAATTTAAAATAACTATGTTGATTTTTGTAAAGGTAAGGCTGTCCTTCCCCCAAATTATTGTTTATTTTCATATTTAAAGCAAGTCCAGAAAAGGTACTGATGAAGCAGATTTTGCTATTTCACCTGTTTGTAAGCTTCATTCCTGACTTGGATTCCTTCCTGACTAGAGAAAACTATTTTGTTTTAATGGCTTATTCAATTCTTGGCCCTTCTCCTGTAGCATTGGTTACACAGTCCCTTTCAGTCTGGCATGAATCCTGAACTCCTCTCTGCGGGAAAGCACCATTTTTGGGTCAAGTTGAATTTTAGACAAAGCAATTCTTGTGTAGCGGGCTTATGGGGTGGTTGCTTGAATACTAGCTATGGAATAGCATTAGGAACATCACTGCTGCTTGTGCAGCAATCTAGATTTATACTGGATTAAAGTGGCAGCGTGTGTGACTTGAAAGCTGCACTGTTATAGCTAGCCTGCTTCAGCTGCCCCCAAAGTAGCACTGCACAGTGTTTATCTGCAACAAATTCTGTTGTTCTTCCCTCCCCTAAAATAAATCTTGTCTTGTAAATTGAAATACTACCATTTTTTTCATCTGTGTGTTTTGGTGTTAGAAATGCTTTTCACCCAATTACGTTTCTTATACACAGTTTGTTTTAGATTTTGCTGTTTAAATTGTGATGATTTTGGTAAATATACATTAAAGCATTGTCATTAGCACGATTAGCAGAAATCAGGTATTTTCTTCAAGCTTTCTACTGTTGGATACCAAAGTTTTGTATAGAAATATTGGTGATATGACTAGTAATTCTTGCTATTACTGTCCCACTATAATTGCTCAAATATGCTAGCTAAACTCTTTTTTAAATCTTTTAGGTCATGCAACAGAGGGCGTTAGGGCTAGAACAGTAAAGGAGCACTGACATCAGAATATTTAGCATTATAAGGTATAAGCAACCCTTAATCTTCACATAGCTAGCTCAGACTAGGATGGTTCCTGTCAGTGACATGGCATTTCCTGTGAGCAAATAGATTTTAAAAAGCTGAAGAGCTGATTTTGTTCTTTTGGGGCTGAAGAGAGGCACGTGTGTCACATTTTGAAATCTTGTTTTGGACATAGGCATTCAAGTTGTTCTTTCAGGTTTTTGGTTTTTGGTTGTTGGTTTTGTGCTGTTTTTTGTTTTTTGTTCTTTTTCCTCTTAAGGAAGTGCCATTTTTCTCTTGAGCCCCACCTCTGATCTCTACATCTTTATATAACAGCAAAAATATTCAGGTGCTACTGACAAATCTTTTGCATGGGCTTGCTGTGAAATTTCACTGTCAACTTGGATTTTAAAGTTGTGTAGCAACACATTGTTTTACTGGGTTTGGCAGTTAAAATGTCTGAATTATCAATTACTATAATCGCCTCATTCTAATTTATGATACTTTTTCTCTGTTCCTGATGTTATAGAATCAAAGTATCACCCAAATATTATGGGTCATAAATCTAGTATCTTATATTTCATAAGATATAAAATGTCTATTTATTAGAATTTTGGTATTATGTGGCATCAAAAAACCCCATCAAACTGTCTAATAATTTATAATGGGGTTTTTTTTTGGTTGTTTATTTGTTTTTTTTAAGTGTACAGGAAGAATGAGCACTTTGAAAGAAATGGTGAAAATTGAGAGAAATTTGGCAAAATCTGTCCTATGTTTTTTTCATGAAGAGGCAGCAAACTTGCTGGAAGGCATAGTGGCAGCAACTACTAATGCTAGAAGAGCACTATTTTAAAGTGCTTTCCAACAGCTCTTTTGTGTGTGTAGATGTCTAAAAAATACTGTTAAACCAAACAGTATTATATTTTACTGCTTTTGATGGATTGTGGTTATCTTCTGTAAAAGGAAATGCTTTGCCTTTTCTGCTATCCCTACTCAGCTGCTTTTCTGTCCTGTATAAATCTCAATTTTTGAAGACTTCTTAAATATAGCTTTTTACTTTAGCTTTTCCTACTATAAAATAGTAAAATATAATTGTAAAAAGCACAGAAATCCTGTTTAACCAATATTTTCTCAGTGTGGAAAGAGGGATGTAAAGATCAGGAAAATGCACAAATGATTTTTTTTTAAACATAAAGGAATGTTTTACTACCTTACTGTGAGAGTATAGAAATTCCCCTTTCTTTACTGTGAGAGTGGCAGAGCCCTGGAACAGGCTGCCCAGAGAGGTGGTGGAATCTCCTTCTCTGGAGACATTCAAAACCCACCTGGACAAGTTCCTGTGCAACCTGCTGTAGGTAGATCTGCTCCGGTAGGGGGGTTGGACTAGATGATCTCCAGAGGTTCCTTCCAACCCCATATGATTCTATGACCTTAAAGGTCATCGAGTTCCACCCCCCCTGCCATGGGCAGGGACACCTCCCACTAGAGCAGGTTGCTCAAAGCCCCATCCAGCCTGGCCTTGAACACTTCCAGGGATGGGTCAGCCACCACTTCCCATGGCAACCTGTTCCAGTGCCTCACCACCCTCACGGTAATGAATTTCCTTCTGATATCTATTCTAAATCTCCCCTTTGTCAGTTTAAAACTGTTACCCCATGTCCTAATGCCACACTCCCTGATAAATAATTCCTACACTAAACTGAGAACTCTGATTACATTTTCACCTCTGCGAGTGCTCTTATGAACTCTTCTATAACCACAAGACCCACTCCGTTCAAACAGATGTTTAATGATATTTTTATCTTATGTAGCTTTATAATATGGCTTCTGATGTCTTTTGGAAAGTGTTCTGTAACGGAGAGGTGAAGCAGTTTTCAGCCATAGCCGAGAAGCTTTCGGCCTTGACCTTTTAAACCACGTCACTATAAGTAGTCTGAGATAGCTCTGTGGCAATCTGTGGGATGTTTGTGAGCCAAAGGAAATGTTAAAGATGTTTTAATATATACAGGACTTAATTGTCTTCTGTTTCTTTCTCTGGAATCCAGTCTGTGTTGCAGCATTGTTGTGTAGATATGGAAATATTATATATATATGTCCATATATGAGATATAAGGAAAACCCAAAGCTAACAAACAAATTAATTTTCTAAGTTTTGATGATCTAAGGTGGACTTCTCTCTTTAGTAGGATAAATGCTAGGAGAATTGCATTGTAGCCATTCTGAAATTTTAGATATTCATTCAATGTCAGGAGTTATCTCTAAGGAATCCAATACTGTTCCCATCAACAAAGTGTGACAGGGATCTTTAGGGCAACAAATGCTTTTATTTGAACTGAACTTTTCTGTGTTCATATCTGTGGTGCTTTGGAAGTCTCTCTGTTTACTTTAATCAAAATTCAAAGGCACACACAGACATTAAGCTGTCCTGAAAATGGTCGGACAGAATGGCCAAGGAAGCTACTAAAGTAAGGGTACAGAGAGATGTTGGGTTACTATGACAGACGAGTGACTGCTTGTGTCTCTTAACCTGTTAATACCTTATGCTTTGATACTGGTGGCCTGACTGATGCTCTCAACTACATGAAGCAGTCAACATATGGTATGCTTTTAAACAGTAACCACTGAAATGCGTATTACTGTGAGGTATTTAGACAAGGGCAGAGAAGTCAGCTTGAACATAATAATTGTGGCTGGGAAACAGCAGAACAAAAGACATGGGAACATGCTTGTCAGGGGTGTCAGGGACGTATTCCAAAAAAGACTGTGTTCAGAAGTACAGTAGGACAGTGCTGAAGGGTGAACATACAATTTTGCCTGTTTTGTGTCTCGTGCTTTTTTTATGATTTTATGAGAAGTTCAAGGCATGATTTTGCTGTAGCAGCGAGAACTTTAGAAGTTCTCATGTGCTTTTTTTTTAAACTTATTTGTTTTAATCAATGATGCTTCTCTTCCCGCAGTTTATGTTCATTGTTTAGTTGTTCATAAACCAGAATAAATAAGTGCTTTTCTTTTCTGACTTTCTTTTATAGTCTTGGTTGCTTGTGGTACAGCAAACAGAACAGCTGAGCAAAATAATGAAGACACATGCAGAAGATCTTAATTCTGGGCCTTTGCATAGGCTTACGATGATGATTAAAGATAAGCAGCAAGTTAAGAAGAGTTATGTAGGTGTCCATCAACAAATTGAAGCAGAGATGTACAAGGTATTTTATTCAATTGTGCTGTATAAATTTATTATAGTTTTGTATGTTTAGAAAGTAATATATTGAGAATGGATTTTTTTAGTTCCTCTGTTTTTGTTTGTGCTATGGTAAAAATAGTGATTTTTGATATATAGAATAACTAGTTTAAATTTATTTCCTCCATGTTTTCTTTCCCCTGGTGGCTGACAGAGCAGGAATAGAAAACTTTTTTCTGTATAGATTTCTGTGAACAGATAGCACTGAAAATGCTCTTGTTCCAGTAGAGGATGATTCCCTGTGACACTTCTTTTTTCTGTCTCTCTTCCTCTTCTTATTCTGCTCTAGACACCCTTGGGACCAGGTCACTGAAAACTTTTGTTAATGAATGGTCTTGACAGACCAAACTGCTTTGCATGGGGACAGGATTCTAGTCCGTATTCTAAAATATAAGTCCAGGGTAAAACAAACACTAAGTCTGTAAATGGAGCTCTTCAGGGCTCAACATGTCAGTTGTCCTGCTCATATTGAAAGCACTGTATGTAGTCAGTAAAGCTGACAGAAATCACAGTTTCATTCAGGTGCACTGGAGGAAGTTTAACTGCAAATCTCAAAAATCAGATTGCTAGTCTGAAAGGTCTACTGAGAGAAGGAGAAGCATTGTTTCTTCTTTCTTCCAGCAGAGAACTTGAGATTAGGGGTAGTGTAATTAAAATGGGACATCTAAGTAGTACAGTACAAATATCATGGACTGATGAGTAAAAGATTTTTGGGAAGAACTTCAAAATAGTACTAGACATGTGTTAAGTTAAATGTGTTGGCTCTAATAAGACTGCTTCCATAATACGCTAGGATCTTGGCATCTTACCCAGCTGTTAACTATGGGGATTACATAATTTTTGCTGCATGGTCAGTAAGCTGTTTTATCTGATAAAATTTCAAGCCAAAAAATCACTCATGCCAGTTACGGATTGGTGCATCTGAAAATAGTCAGGATGGAAGAAGAGAAAAAACTGTTAGCATATGTTAGAAATAATAGAGGTTAAATATTTAGAAAATTGGAGAAATGCATAAAGAAAGAAATAAACATAAAAAAGAAGCTAGATGAAACTAGGCTGCTGCAGGGTCAGGTGTTCTTTTAGAAGGACTGTGCAAAAAAAAGAGAGTTTTTTTCTGCTAATAAGTTAATTCCAATAAAATTTCTCATAACACTGTCTTTTAAAATAAGTCTTTTTCGAAAAAATATAGTGCATATTGAGTACTGCCCAAATGATTAATTAGAAAACATACTGATTTTAATTAATTATGGGCCATGTGGCCATGGAAATATTTTGCATCGTGATGAATAAGCTTGCATTGTTGTTTGTGTTATTTTTTCCCCCTTCCTGATTCTCCTAAGAAACATTTGAATAGCATTCTGGTTACATATCATATGTTCTTTCATTGTTAGCTGACATTGTTTGTTCAAAGGTTTTGTGTCACTGGAGTACTTACAGAATAGTTTCCAGAAATTCAAAATACTTCTTATGTTCTGCTTTTGTTACATACTGAAGCAAAATACTTACTCTTTCCCAGGACATAATCCAAACCTCAATGTCTGTGCAGTTCATATATTTAGGATATGTTGGGAAAAAAAAGTGTTTTCATTTACGTGAAATGCATATTTATCATTGCTTCTTATTCTAGACACCTTTATGATAAGGAACTGTTTTGATACAATTCTTAAAGACAGTGAAGTACTATGTCTTTTACACAAATGTAGTAAGACTTGTATCTTGTAGATATATTCCAATTCTCATCAAGATATTGGATATTTTTATTTCTTCATGAAACTTGAGAGAAAAAAGTAGGGTACTATGCCAATTAGGTGTTTGATAAAACCTGGATTTAAGATAATCCTTGACCATATAAGTTCCTTAATTGTTACCTGAGGACAGAGGTGCTCTTGGTTTTGTTTTTGATTGTTAGAAGAACAGAGTCTAAGAATCAGTAAGATAATATTTTGCAATGTGACAAAGGTTTCTTAATACTAGTGCCCTACCTTTTACTTTCCAGTTTTCTGTAAGAGAAGCAGTTCCTTGTTATTTATGTCTTAATTGTGTTTACTACTTCCTAATTTCATCTTTTTGTCCATTTTTTGTGGTGTCTTTATAATACAACTTTGTCATTAAGCTACTTTTTTCCTGTATCACCTCTGTTAGCCTGTGGTAACAACAGTTGTGAGTATAATTTACAGTGTGTAGCAATATGAGACGACAATATCAGACCGATGTGGGGAAAAGTTCCTGCCTTTGAATTAAATCTTTGCACAGTTGGCCTAGAAATAGAACTTGTAGATAGCACCTTGTTGGCTCTCTAGAGATGTTATTCTTGGGGGTGAAACTAGTGCCATCTGGGCCTTGCATCGTGAAAAAAAAGGGAGAATTGTTAACTCCAGCTGCCTTCTTGCCAGCTGCAAAAGAAGCAGGTTTTTTTTGTAGAATGGACTTCCTTTTCTGCACATTCAGTGTGGGCAGCACTTCCATTAAATAAGTTTCACTTTCACGATTTCCCATTGTGAGTGCATTTTTCCTTTTGCCAGAGTTTTTACTTTTCTATATATGCCACATTTTTGGTAATGTAGTGGCTGGTTTGTTACTAGCTTTTGTTTGCAAGTTCATGATTTATGATTATTTCTGAACAGTGCACTAATTGTGTCACACAGTGAGTGAAAGCTGGGGAAGGAAGAGACAACATTTTCAATTTTTTGACCAAAAATGTGACGTTCAGTGGAGCTGCTTCCAGTGGAAAAAGATTCCACTGTAGTTTGGGGGTTTTGCGTGTAGATTTTTTTGTTGTTGTTGTTTTTGTTGTTGTTTCTTTTCTGTCTTAGAGATTTAAGTTTTACAACAGATAGATTGATTCTTGCACAGTTGCTGTTTCTAAGCCATTTGTATGAACTGCAATATTTAAAAATTCCTCTACCTTACTTTTTTTTTTAGATGCTAAAGGATTTCCTTCATGTGCATAGAACTTTTTCATCTAATACAATTTATTAAGCATCTTTTTGGTGCTTTTTTACCTTTGTCATTGAAATAGAATAGTGTTTGTGATTAGCTGGATTTCCTAAATGTATTTTTCATTACACTGATGTGGATGAGGATCTCTGTGTCAGGCTCCTTATTTCGTTCCTTGCATTTATTGATTTTGATTATGTTACACCATATAATACCCTATTAAGATTATCTCAAGTCAATGGAAAGTGGTAACATCCTTATTTTGGAAAAAAAAATGTCCTGTTAATTCTCTTTTTCTAATGCTATGAATTTTTTAATATGTTGAAGATAAGTTTTTTAATAATATTTATATTTCTGTTTTCTTAAAGGTCACAAAGACAGAACTAGAGAAACTAAAATCTAGCTATAGACAACTAATAAAAGAAGTAAATTCTGCCAAAGAAAAGTATAAAGAAGCTGTGGCTAAAGGTATGACTGACTTGGGTTATTAGTGCCTTTTTTAAACATGCTAATACTCTTGTGTTGAAGCAGGGCAATATTTTTATTTTGAGCAATTCAGTTACAATATAGAAGCTCATTTAGTGTCTTAAGTAAGATAGGCTAATGGCCATCACGTGTACTTCATGGTACGCTTTTAAAAATAATAAAATAAAAGGCAGCCCTTCTTTTGATATAAATGGTCATCCTGTTACATTCTTATATTATTTCTTCGGTGGATGTATTTGAAATATAAAATTGCTCAAATGAAATGTTAATAGTGGTAAGGGGGTTGCAACTCCTTCTCATTTACATTGTAGGTGCAGCCTGCTTGGGTCCTGTGACCTATTATGGTTGCTGCAATGGCATCAGCATCAGATCTTGACAGTTAATATAACGGATCTGACCTTTGTCAACCTTAAGCAAAAGAGGAAAATAATTCATTTGCATGCTGAGATGTTTTAAAGATTTTTGGGGAATGATGTTCAGACTACATGGATGTTAATTCCTGTTGAATTGTGCTAATGATTAGATAAAGAAGAGCCTTTGTTCTATGATGTATTGAAGTATCTTGGTTAATAATTGTTATATGCCTTTCTCAGATTTTTTTTCTTTCTTTAGAGAAAATTAGTTGGATGGCAGTATATAAATATAATTCCAAGATCCATCTTTAAATTTTTGTATGACTGCCTAAAATGACAGTTATTGTGCTTTGTTCTCTTGTACTGTAATTTATAGTGTGATATAGTAGCTGTCAGTGCTGAGAGAAAGATCATTTCTTGCCAAATTTGTGTAAAAGTTAGAGTGGTAGTCGGTATGTGAATATAACAAAACAGCATGGGATAAGAGAGTGCTTAGCACTGTTTCGCTTCAGCTTTTTTTTTTCCTTTTACTGCTGTTCATAGTCACTTAAAAATGTAAATATATACTCAGTTAATTTTGTTGAGTTCCCTAGCTGTTTTGTATATAAAACTTTGATTTCGTTACTTGGTTTATCCCCAAATAACTATTTAACATGGAAACATATAGTATGTAGCACAGAAAATATAACAGGGTGATGTGATTACTATGTTCTTTTTATCCCGTCTTCCTGTTTTGGATCTGATCATTCTTCTTTCCTGAAGCACCAAACTTTCCCACTGAATTCAAAGAGTGTTTTTTTCTGTCAGCAGCTGTGATGTTTTGATGTGGTTCTGATTAACTGAATTAATATTTCTTTAGATAGACAGCAAACATAAGCTGGTTTTAAGACACTTATTTCTCTTGTGGTTATCCTTGACCTTCTCTTTCAGGCTTCCACTTGGTATTTGTCATATTACAATTCATACTTAGTTTCACTTTCTTTAACATTTTAGTATAAATCTGTTTAAACAAATGCTGACCTCCATAAAAATGTTGCAGGTTATTCTCCCCAAAATTTCAGAATTGCTTCTCCCCTGTTGCACCCCAGGCCACGTTCTTGTGTCATACTGGAACCAGCTAGCAGGACAGTTGCTTTGAATCAATGTGATGATGCCCTAATGCAGGGTTACAGCTGTTTTCACTTTTTGCTGAAAACACTAAAAGCACCTGTGGAAAGAGTAATAAGAATAAAAGTCAAGCACTGAATAATGATACTGGTTAGTTGCAGGTTTTGTTTATGTTAGGGCAATGGGAAGGCAGCTGGTGGGAATGTTTTGGGTAGTTACCTAGAGAGAAGAAGGGAACTGCTTTCTGAAGGATGCAGGAGCTTCATTATAGAAGGCTTTATGCTCTCCAGATCTGGAGGAAGATGAAAGTATCTGAGAGGCTGGCTCAGGAGCTGTTCTGCAGAACCGTCAGCTTGGGTGTCAGGGAAGCAGTGGGAAGTTATGTTGCAGAGGGTGAACCACTAAGCCTTGGCTGCCACTTGGTCCTTAGGCTGGATTACACTGTCCTGTTGGGGCCACCAGTGTCTGCATGCTGTCTCAGTCAGAAAGGACTAATTTATCTTGTTTGTTTGTTTTAGCCCTTGTCCCGTTTAGTCATGTGTTGCTGCTCCTTTCTGGACCAGTGATTCCATCAAAAATGCAGCCTGGTTGGTTGTTCTTGGGCATGGAGACCCCCAGGTGTCAGGCAGTCTGGTTGGTGTTACTTGGTTGATAAATTTTTTTCGGTTTTTTCAGTCCTTAAGTCTTAGTAGTTTTTTTTTAATGTATGGTGAGAAAAAGCAAGCTCTGAGAAGGGACAAAGTGAGCAAGCTGAACTAGTCCAGTGCCTCTCTAATGAGGCATACTTCAGCAAATGGGACTTTGGACAGATTGATTCCAATAGTCTTTTCTGAATTAGAAAGCTTTGTTTAAAAAAGGGGTATGTACTGGGTACATGCAGCATGTTCCTTTGCCTTTGCAAAATTGGGGCATTAGAACGTGTTGGGGTTGTAGGGCATGCTGGGTTAATTGGAGCAAAATATAAGATAAAAACTTGGCAGGTTGTTTTTCCTTAATTCAATGGACAGCCCTCTGAAATCTTTTAGATATGTGATACTGGAAAAATGGTGTACACTTCTTGCAACAACAGTCCAAAATAACACTCATAGATTGTGTACAACTCTGAGCTTACAATGCTGTGATGACATCAGTGATGATAAGTTACACAGTAAATAGAGTGTGGCATGTTGATGTTGCTGTTGCAGGAAAAGATATCAAAGCAAATTTATCCTGAATGATGAAGACATTGTTTGGCTAAAGAAGTCACAAAGCTTCTAAAAGGGTTTCATAAATAATGGCTAGAGAACACAAGATGGAAACTGTAGAACAGCTGTAGGTATGAAGTGTGATATCTCATTACAGTTTGAATTTCATTTGGTTGGATCAGTAACTGCTTCCACTTAAATTTGCTATTGCCACACTTATTTTTGTTTCTGCATAATTGTGCATCTTTAGTAAGTGTAGTTCAGTGTGTCTGGGAAGGTTTCTAATCTTTTATTCCTTAATTTTTTGATTAAACACTAGTTATTGCTATATAAAAAAATCTTAAATAAGGAAGTGGTGACTACATGAAATAAACATGAATTTACTCTTTTCCTTAATTTTTTTTTTTAATTGAAAAACATTAATTCTTAACAATATAGCATCTATTTTTGTAGCTAATTTTGGTGTTAGATTTTGGTGGTTTAAATGTGGCTCTTATATGAGTTAATATTGCAAGTTGGGATAGGGCCAGTGTAGCTTTGGGAGGTTCATAATGGACTTTAATACAATATCTTTAGCAAAATTTATTATTTTCATGTAAATACATCTGTTGCAGGTACTTACTGTATTTTTGTTACTAGTTAATTACTGATTGAATGTAGAAACTATGCAGCAACATTCTTATGTGTCAGAATGGATCTGAAGTAAAGGAAAAAATACATTGATTCTAAGTGTTTAATTTCATTTTATGCTGTTATGGCAGTGTAAAAAATACTGTGCCAGATTTCCCTAGGTTGGCTTATGTTCCCTGACAACATTGTGATTTAGAGGAGACTAGAAATGTTAACAGTACACATATCACATTATACAACATTGCATCTCCTGGAAGAATGTTTTCCCATCCCTGCAACTCTTGTGATTTAATATTTCAGAATTGATGTGACTTCTGTGGTGCATACTGAAGTTGCATGACAGCATAAGCTACATCTATGATAAATAAGGAAGCTGCTGAAAAAACTTTCATTAAATCAAACTATTGTCCTACTGTTCTTTGTAATAGCTGAGTGGCCAGAAAATGCTTTTATTAGGTGGCTGGTGCATTTATTCTGTGATGCCTGTAAAATTGTGATTATACCACTACGTTTCCTTGTGGCGTGTGTTGCTTTTAGTTGTTTCTGAGATCAGGGAAACTCCTAGTAGGGTGTTTTTTGAACTGATTTTTTACTGAAACTATCATATTGTTAAGGTAAAACAAGTAACACTGGCCGAACTGGTCTGTCTTATCCACAGACATTGGCAGGCTGGATGAATTTCAATTAATACCCTATTGTAAGTGTTTCAACTTACAGACACTATCAGTGCTTGCAAGGGCTAGGGTTGTTTTCTTCTGTGTAAAATAAAGCTTCTAGGAAGCTCTGGGGAGTACAGAGCCAAGAGACACAGATGACTTCTAGTGGAGTGGGACCACCAGTTTTGGGCATATTTTTTCCAGTCAACATGGATATGCAGCCCCAGAATGTGCTCTCCTCAATTCTCACACGTCTGAGAGAATTTACTAGTGGTGCTTTTTAGCTCAAAAATCAGGCAGCAGTTCAAAAGATTGCACTTTTTAAATTATTTTTGTACTATGTTATTTATCTTAACATTAAGTAGATAAATTCTTAACTCAGAAGTTTAGGTATTCTGTAAATTTGAAATCTCTAAGTATATACAAATATTTTTTTCCCATTAGAAAACTATTTGTTATTTGGAGTCATTACCTTGTTAAATAAGGTGTGGGAAAAACTTTTTATCCTCTTCTCAGAAATAAGTTGAGTGGAGGAGGGAGTGGGTGATTTTATTTGTTGAAGGAACATATTCACATAAGCCTCTTGTGGGACATAAAAGGAAAAAAAGACCTTAAAGATTAAAAGCCAAAATCCTGTCTTCTTTCTGCCTATCTTTGTGATTTTTTGTCTTGTGAAACCCACTAAATTTCCAAGTTTGCTTGCTGAGGCATAACTAACAGCCACAGGCATCCGAGTTTATTTTCAACAGTTTGCATAAAAAATACTTTGTAGATCAGTAGTCATGTCACTGGTGGTTTTCTTGGGATCTATAAGAACTATCATATGAGGAAAACATTTTCATAATCACCTATATATTTAGATGTGCCTAACATTATATGAAATACAGAATATTTTCTGCAGAATGAAATAATGCTCTGTGAAAATGTGTGTCTCCAGAGTTGAAATAAAAAAAGAAGTGACTATATGGGTGGTTTGTTATTGATAAACAAATATGGAGACAACAAAACATTCAAAAATTACCTCTGTTATTGAAAATTCTGAAAAATATGTA